TGATGGGGGGGGGTCACCACAACATGAGAAACTGTATCAAAGGGTCGCAGCATCAGGAAGGTTGAGAAGCACTGCCCTAGAAGCCGGCTCTCCTGTGATGGCCCATGCTTTGACCATTGTTCATCTTTCGGAGTGTGGCAAAGTGGAGGGCTATAGCCCTGAAGCCCAGGGACGGAGGAGTGACCAGAGATGGCAGATAGAGAATTAGAAGTTCAGGAGTTCCAGGGTACATTACGGTTACAGCATCAAGGACCATCTGGGGAATGCACACCCTGGGCAGTTTTCCACACCCCGCCCTGCGGTTTCTCTCTCCTGCTCACCCCAGAACCATGCTCAGGTACAGAGTTGACATCCTCCTGTCCCCAGAGACTGGGTACCTCTGGGGTTGAGACACTTGGTCCAGCCTGCCAGCCACTGCAGTCAGGGAGGTGGGAAGAGCATTCGGCTTCCATGAAAGTCTTGATGGATTGTCTTCAGCAAGCCCTGGCCCTGTCTGGAGCTGGGTGGGGAGGGTGGGTGCTGGGGCCTGCAAGTTCAGTTCCAGAACCTGTGAGTGGGGACTGGGCCCAATGCCAGGACATCACTGTGAAGAGCTAATGGAAGTGAGAACCAGAAAATCTCTGCTGCTCCCATGTCCGGGAACAGGAAGCACGAGATAGATGCAGTGAAGAAAATGGAGCCTCCAGGAGACACACAGCACTGGAGGGAAGAAAAGACCAGGTCGGCTTTGTCACCTTTGTCCATCTGCTGGAATACTCAAATTCATTGTTTGTTTGTTTTAGAGAGAGGGTCCCATGTGACACAGGCTGGCCTCAGACTTAATGTGTAACTGAAGATAGTCTTGAACACCTGACCCTCCTGCTTGAGCCTCAGGAGTACTGGAATTACAGGAATGCAGCACCAACCATGTCAGACATAAATTCACTCTTCATGTGAGCTTGTTAGTAGCATCTGTTAGTGGTTTGGAGTGTGACTCAGTGGTGGAACACTGGCTCAGAATACACAAGGCCCTGGATCCCACTTCCAATACCAGCAAAAGCATTAACAGAGACATTGCAAAAGGCGTGACCAAAAAGCTTTCTCTTCCTTTCCTTTTAATTTTTTTCTTTTAAAGATACAGTCTTATATAGACCAGGCTGGCCTCAAATTCTATGTGTAGCTGACTATAGCCTTAAACTTCTGATCCTCTGTCTCTTGTCTCCCAAGTTCTGGGATTTTAGGAGTGTACCTAACACTGACTCCTTTAGGTTTTAAAAAAATTATTTATTTTATTTTTGAGATTATAGTATCCCCCTTCCCTTCCCTTCCCTTCCCTTCTTTTTCCTTTCTCCAATATACTCTTCCTTGATCTGCGTGTGTGTGTGTGTGTGTGTGTGTGTGTGTGTGTGACAGCAGACTGGCTGTCCTGAAACTCCCTCTGAAGACCAGGCTAGCCTCAAAATCAGAGATCCACCTGTCTCTACCTCCTGAATGCTGGGATTAAAGGTGTGCATCACCACTGCCCAGCCATGGCCTCCTTTTTTTTTATTAATTGTTGTTGCACACACAGACACACACACTACATATTCCTAAATACACAAATACAGCCTGCTCAATTTGTACACTGTTACTTGTATGGATGTTTTCAGGGCTGATCATTTGGTATTGAATAACCAATTGGTATGCTTTTCCCTGGGGAAGTCTATGCCCTCTTACCCGATACCCCATTCCATCCCATAGTTGCCTGCAGTTCTTTGTCTAGGACTGAGGCCTCCTGGGATTTCCCCTATACCTCTTTGTGTGTCTATTGTTGTCCTTATTCAGTTCCTGTTTAGGGAGTTGTCAGTGAGACTTTCTGGGTATAGCTTATGACATTCCAGGAGACACAATCTCACAACACACTCCCTGTTCCTCTGGCTCTTACACTCTTTCTTCCCTCTTTTGCACAATGACCCCCAAGCCTTAGGTGCAAGGGTTGTTTTGTAGATGTATCCTTAGGACTGAACCCCACAACTCTGCATTTTGATTGGTTGTGGTTTTCTGAAATGGTCTCTTTCTTTAGCAAAGAAAAACTTCCTTGATGATGTTGCTAAGCAGGTTGTTGTCATCTAAGAGGGGACCAGGATGCCACCCACACCCAGCCTGGGGCTTGTACTCCTGGGACTACAAGTCTAAAGAGGTGACCCCAAGTCAGTATAGTAGGACACTTATAAAGACACAACCCACAAGTTGGGCACTTTCTGTTGATGCGGGTCTGGTGGCTGTCGACAAGCGTAACAGGCTACGAACTTTCTGCTAAAATGAGGCATCACTGTGTTAGCATGATACAACTGTTTCATCAGGAAGGGGAGCAGAAAGCCTTGCAATTACAGGAGCAGAACACTGGCAGGTGAGTTATGGTTCCCATAAAGTACTATGCCTGCCCGAGGGTCAGGCTGAACACAGTTCCAGCACGAGGTCAGGCCAGGATTTAGCAGATGTTTTTCTCTTCGTTCCCCGTTGTCTGAGGTATTCTGGCATATCCGCACTTGCGTTCAGTGCGTGCGGGGTGAGGACTGCACTTAGCTGTGGGCATAAGGACATATTTAGAATATAGTTAGGGATTATGCTATTAAGTAAAATGGTAATTTTTGGTTCTCCTCCAAGACCCATGACTTCACTAGCCCTGGGTAGTTGGCTATGTTTCTGGTAACACGCATGGTATTGCTCTTCTTGAGTAGGCCTAAGTCCAATTAGAGAGAGCTGTTGGTTACTGCTAAGGTATGCGTGCCACTACTGCACTGTTGGTGTTACCGTGCCAGGCTGCACATTCCTGTGGTTCACAGGTGTCATATCTGGTGGTTTCCCCTCTCTGGAAACTTGAGTGATACCTTCTGGTACCATGAAAGCTAGTCGTCAGGGAGGAGGCATTCAGGTGGTTTCCAGCTCTCTGAGCCCTGTGTCTGAAGTTCACAGTGTCTTCAGCAACAGGGACACTCACCTTCCACTTCTGGGGGCAACCAAGGGCAAAAGCGATAGCCTGTAATGTTCTGAGAGTCTCTAGGACAACCCTGACCAAAAACTCAAAAAAGAGCTTTTTTCGTGACTGGTGTTGGAGTTTTTGGTTTCTTGGAGAAAGCACTGTCAGCCCAGATGGAAACTTTTTATTTAAACTATGTATGTGTGTTTATATATCAACTTACAAATATTGTAGGCTTTTGGGGGTAGATAGTTAATAGTAGGATTCCTTGTGGCTTTTTCAGATGTCCTTAGTGTTATTTTACTCTCTTTATTCCTCCTTCCGTGATCGCCTCCCTAATCAGAGCCCCTCAATTTTCTCCATTTCTCCATTTAGATCACCTTTCCCTTCTCCATTGCCCCCACCCCCACCCTGTAAAAAGGTCTCTTTTTACTTTCCTGGTTTGTGCAGTTCTTTTAGGTTTGCTTTGGTTTGTTTCTTTTGGAGATAAAAATCTCACTCTGTATTTCTTGCAAACCTAGACTTTACTGAGCTGCTCAGGCTGGCTTTGAATTCTCAGTAGGCCTCAGACCTCAGCCTCTCTGGCGGGGAGACTTGTGGGTAGAAGCCACCACACTCTACTCAACTTCATTTTTTTTTTGTATTGAAATAGACTCAATAAAATGAGGCCACTCTGTAACTGGATTTAATTCTAAATCCTCCTACCATAGACTCCTGAGTGCTGGTTACAGGCATGAGCCACCACACCCAACCGCTGGAGGTAGACACAGTGGCGGTTACTATCTTCATTTTACCAATGAAGAAACTGATATTTAAAAGGGTTTATCACTGCCCCTCCCCCACTCCAGGCCACAGGGCATCTACCGGATGGATCTGGGACTGGAAACCACCTGTCCAAACCCAGGCAAGGCTTGCAGATCACCGTCTATCAGGGCTCCATCATCTGGAGGTCTGTGGCCACAGCCGTCACAATGCTGATCTGTTCTACCATTTTGGATCACCACTCTGATTCCCATACCAGCAGCTTCTGTTCCTGCTTCCAGGGAGTGCAGCCTGGTCTGGAAGTCCCATGGTCCATTATGTTGCCAGGGGCGGGAAACTATAGATCTGATTACCACAGGAAGCTCTGGAGCTGGCAGAGCACAATGATGTGCTGATGAGGGTCCCCGCCAGGACTTTGGAGGTGATCTGCAGCTGCCGCCTTCCCAAGGACTTCCAGACCCCTTCTCAGAAGCCCTCCCTCTGAACTGGGCTGGAGCCTCACACGTGTGCTGTTCTACACTGAAGTCCTGTGCTGCTAACCACAGACCTCTACTGTGCTTCTGCTGTGGTGTGCTCTATGTAGAGAGCATACGGTCATTCCCTGTCATTGGATCCAGCCATCCTTTTGCTCTTGACCCCTTCCTCTTCTGCAGAGACTGCAGAAGCATTGGCTGGGCTGAATGGACCTTGGAGGGAAACTGTTCTCATGCAATCCTATGTCTGCATGACACTCACTAGTAAGCATTTTCTGCAGCCTTTCCCCAGAGCTGCTCTGTGCGGTGGATGCAGATGGATGGTCCAGACAGGAAAAGAGAATATATATTGGTTAAGAGCCTGCTGTGTGCCAGACCAGCTAGCCTGGTATAGACAATGGCGAACAACAAAGAAACCCCTTTTCAAACAAAGGTGAATGTTGAGACTTAACCTGAAGTTGTCCTCTGAACTCCACACATGTACCATGAAATGTGCCTGTTTGTTTGGGTATACGTTTGTGTGTATGTGGTGTGTGTGTGTGTGTGTGTGAGAGAGAGAGAGAGAGAGAGAGAGAGAGAGAGAGAGAGAGAGACAGAGAGAGAGACAGAGAGAGAGACAGAGAGAGAGAGAGAGAGAGAGAGAGAGAGAGAGAGAGAGAGAGATATTAAATGGTTTAGCCAAAGTCGCACAGGAAGGTGACAGAGCCAGGATTTGAGCCTGCCCATGTCTAATGGGAAGTCTGTGCTCTTTCTGGCTTGGGTATCTTTCATCTCTGGTTAAGCCCCGGAGAGGAAGGGCTCCTTCACAGGAAAGAGGTCTCCACTCTAACTTGGCACAATCTTTCAAAATGAAAAATTCATAGACATTTTGAGCCAGCAATCTCTTTTCTAGGAATGAATCCTCAAGAAACATTTACACATGCGCCCAGAGTCTAGATGGTCTTGTTTGCAGTATCAAAAGCTCAGGAGCAACCTGAATGCCCATCAGCAAGGAAGGATAAGTACAGTACTGTGACCACAAGGAAAGACAGATCAGACTGTACACCAACGGAGAAAATACAATAACTCAGCTACTGGATGCATGTGCATATATTTTATATGTGCACATATATTGCATATACATTTTGTATTTATATAGCTGAGGTTTCTTTACAAGGTGTTGATAGTTCCCCGGTGAGAGGAAGTGAAGAAAGGTGGGGAAGGTTAAAGAGGCTCCCAGGCACCAGGAAGCAGCCCCTCCACCCTGCCTGTCTCTTCTCTGTCTTCCCCTTGAGGATTCCCAGTGCATAGACATAGCAGACATTGAAAAGTGTCTGGGACAGAGGAAGGGAGTGGCTTATCAGTGCTGGGCACCGCTTCCTCCCACCATCCCCATCCTGGCCTGGCACCTCCGGAAGGAGTCTCAGACTAGACCCCTGTTTGGGGCCTCAGGGTTCACTTCATTAGGATCCCAATCAGTGGAGATTGAGCACGTCTTGCCATTACAGACTGCAGAGGAATGCTGAGGTCTCACCTCTCTGGGCCGTCTCATGATGGCATTGGATGAAGGCAACCTGGGCCACTGAGTTCCTCCTAGGTCTCCGTTGTTTATCATTGAGTTTTGTATACTGTACAGCAGACGAGATCCGGATGTGTCTGACAAGGACCAGGGCATTCTGGGCATGAGACACGCAGGGACCTGTTGAATGATTTTCCTTATCTTTCGGAGGACATCTGTTGCAACCGAGTGCTGATAAACCAGAGACACTCCAGTTGACCTTGTCTTCCTCTCGCCCTATATTCTCCTACCACCTGTACAGGTCTGGGGCTCGAATGCACTATCACTGCATGGTTAGACAGCCAAAGGAGGAGTTTTCCCGCCTTCAGCAGGCCTCTCTGGCTCTGTGGTCTTATCCACAAACTCGCATCTTCCTGTCTCACTACTAAATGTCAGCCCTTTGATCCAAATGTCCCCACGACCTCGTCACCAGAAATGCACTCCCCCCTTCCCTTCAGACTTGTTCCTCTTCTTGCTGTTCTTTCTCTCATTGGGTTCTCTCTGCCTGTCTCTAGGCTGATCCACAGCCTCTTGCATGTAAACAATAAGAAGATAGGAATTCAACTCAAGAGGCTGAGGACGAGGCTTCGTTGGTGCAGGTGCTTGCCTGCCACATACAAGGACCTGTGTTTCATCCCCCCGTATCACATAAAACCATGCCGTGTGTGATGGTACATGCCTACAATCCCTGCTTGGGAGGAGGAGGCAGGAGGATCGGGAGCTCAGAGCATCCTCAGCTACAGAGCTGAAGACCAGCTTGGGTTACATGTGACCCTGGTGGGGGTTGGGGGAGGAGTTCCAAATCAGGGCAGCTTAAGTTTTTTGCTTGTTTGTTTTTTCTCACATAACTGAAAAACTTGAGATACAGATTTCAGGCAATATCTGGATGGGGCACTTAGAAAATGTCACCAGATATATGTCTCCTTTACTCAGGCCTGCTCTCATTGGTGTTAGCTTTACTCTGGGTAGCCACACCCCAAATCGTCTAAAGCAGCTCCATATTTAAATGTCCCAGAATAGCAAACCATGCAGAGAAAAAGCATTCTTTCCCCAAGAGGTAAGCAAAAGCCCCCCGGCTGATGGTACTGGGTCTGTTTCTATTGAGTGCCTTGTGGTTCATGGACCAATGGCACAGACTGGTCAGATCCAGTCCTTTATCTATCCAGGAAGATTGGAGAGCCCTTTCTAACCAGACATGGGGAGACGTGCTCTGCAGGCAGGCAGGCAGGATCTGGGGGTGCTCACCAGCGGGAAGATGAGAACCTGACAGTGACTGACAGCCACTGTCCAGCCTTGTTACTGATCTGGGGCAGTGTCTCCTCTCTGTGGAAAACTGGCGGGGTGCTGAGATGCTCAGAGGCATCCTCATAGCTTGGTTTCTTTGCCTAGCCTCGGCCCCACAATCTGGATTAAAGCAGCTCCTTGGCCTAAGTCTCACCCAGGACACATTCTAGTATGGATAGGGACAGGGACAGCACAGGAGCGGAAGAAGGCAGAGGCTCATGAACAAATTTTGAAGGTGAGCCGTTCCTGGGTGCCTGGACTTCTCTCCCAGCCTCACTGGCATCCTCCAGTCAGGGGTGGTGCATGCTAGCTTAGTGGTCTCTGGTCTTCTGCTTCTCCTGATGGCTGCCTTCTGCCAGGGTCTTCTCACTGGGACACTGCCAGGGCCTCTGCTCATGGGTGCCAATCCTTGTCCAGCACCACTCTCTCCCATCTTCTTGCCTCCCAACTGTATTTTCTACTCAGTCTAAAGAAAGTCAAGACTTTTGCTTCAAAGAGCCTCCTGGTCTTCTGTGGGAAGACCAAGGTGGGAAGAGAAGTGTGAAATCAGAGAGGTAGAGGCAGGGGCTGGGCAGGTTCAGCGAGTTAGCATTCGGTGGAAACACTGGTCCCACGTCCAGCTGGTGACTCACCACTTCCTTCCTCACAGCTGGGGATTGTCTGCTCTCTGACTGTTATCACACAGCCGGTACGGGATCCACCACCGTTCTCAAGTCCCTTGACTGTGTTAAGTTTGAAGATTCCAGCTGGGTTTGGTGTCAAAAGTCTGTAAACCTGGGAAGTGGAGAGCCAGGAGTTCAAGGGCAGCCTGGGCTACACAAGCCCTTCTTGAAAAAGAGAGTGGAGGTGAGGGTGGGATTGAAACCCTAGACAGAAGCCTTACCAGAGGTTCTTCTGTTGTCCTACATTGAAAAGGTTGCAACTGGAGCAGGTATATGAAATTCTAGCGCATGGACCCCCATTTCCAATCCAGTGCCCATGGCAGACATTGCAAGTCAACACTAGTGTGCCCTTCTCAGCATGCATCCAGGTTACTCATTCCACAAAAGCTTGGGACTGCGTCCTTGCCACTCCTGAACTGGCTGATCTCTGAAGGCTCTTCCCATGCTGATAGCTAAGGATTGTTTGGACCTGGATGAATGATTCTCCTGCCCTCTATTTCCCCGTTTTCCCTCCGACTCAATGCTTTGATCATTCCCTTCCCTTCCTCTATTGCCCTGCCGTGTTTCCGAGTTCTTCCTGAGTCCATGGAAACCCTCGTTTCTGTCTGGGTCTCCAAGGTTCTGTTTACCGTCACTCAACCTCAGGTTCCTTGTAAGTTACATGTATTGAGCGATTCAGTGACACTGGCTCTGAGAGACAGGCATTGATAGAGACACAGGAGGCAGTCACGGGAAGACAGGAGGGACGAGTCTACAGAAATGTCGCCAGATAACAGAATGGCCAAAGCAGGGGCTAGAGTTAAATCAAGGTTGTCTGAGTGGGAATGCGGAGGGGGAATCTGAATGAAAATTGTCCTGGAACCACCAAGGTCACAGCGGGAGAGAGGATCAGGTAAGATCTAAAACCACAAAGGGCAAAGGGAGCATATAAATTAGGATCTCAAGTGACAAACATGAAAAGGACAGAGGTTTTATTGGGTAGCAGGGGACTATGAAGAATTGTCATAATGAGATGAACTTCACAGGGCTTTATACGGGTGACAGCAGCCACAAGTTACTGAGCAGGAGAGTTTGGACCAGGAGGGTAGGTGCTGGCCTATTAGAGGTTAGATAAGCCAATTAGAGGCTTATCATAAGGCCTTACTAGGTTGGTGGATATGGCTTACCCATAGGAAGGAACAATCTGGAGCAATTTTAGACATCCAGAAAGAAATGCCAACTTTATCTCAGGGGTATGTGTGCTTATGGGGCTGCAGAGCCCTGTCTATAATCTGGGAGTTCAAATCCCAGCTCATCTACTTTCTAACTGTAAACCTCTGGCATCAGTGTCTTCACTTGCAAAATGAAATGACTACCACCCATCCCTAAGAGTTGCCTTTAAACAAGGTGTTAAATAAGAACGTGAATGGGGAGCCGGGCCCGTGGTGGTGCACGCCTTTAATCCCAGCACTCGGGAGACAGAGGCAGGCGGATCTCTGTGAGTTCGAGACTAGCCTGGTCTACAAGAGCTAGTTCCAGGACAGGCTTCAAAACCACAGAGAAACCCTGTCTCGAAAAACCAAATAAAAAAACAAAAACAAAAACAAACAAACAAAAAAAAAAAACAGAACGTGAATGGGAAGGAGGCTGGGGAGAGAGCGGCTAATAAAGTACTTGCCTGAGTTTGATCCCAGGGAAAAATGTTGGGTGTGGTGGTGTGTGTTGTAATCCCAGATCCGAGGAGACAGAGACAGGTACATTCCTGGAGCTCACTGGCCAATCAATCTAGCCTAACTGGTTATCTCCAAGCCAAAGGTAGACTCATTTCCAAGAGGGGACAGTGTTTCCAAGAATGACACCTAAAGTTGTCCTCTGACTTCTGCATCCTACAATGCTCACCCTCATACGTGAACACACTGAGAAAAAATAAGGGTGCATACAGGAATCAGGTACGGCAGTATAAGCCTGGAACCCCAGCATTTGGAAGAATGAGGCAGGAGGATCCCACATTGCTGAGCCACACAGCTAGTTCCAAGTCAGCCAGACTCAAAGTCAAAACAAATGAACCGAGACTCTATCTTAGCAGAACATTGCTAACCTAGCATTATGTAAGACTCTGAGTTCAAACTCCAGAACTACCAAAAACTGTCTCTGAGTTAACAGCTCTTAGCACTTGGAAAGTAAAGACTGGAAGATCAGGAGTTCAAGGTGACTCTCAGCCTCATGAAACTTGGAATTTGGTGGCTATCCTAAGCTACGTGGGAAACCCTGTCTCTAAAACAAGAACAAGAAATGTGTATAGGAGCTAGGGATACAACTCCATGGTAGAGCGTTTGCCTAGCATGGCCAAGCCTTGTGGCATATGCAGATACATGTATGTGTGTGTATGTTTACCTACGTTTATCAGCTTTGATGGTAGAGTCCTCGCAAGTACACTGTCTAATACTTCGTTTGTGTAAACGAAGGCTATAATCCTAAACTGCCCGATCATGTATAGGGAGAACAGGACAGCGCCTGCAGAGCCTCAGCAAAGTGACCAGTTGTGCTTTAGCAGGCAGAGGCCACACATAGCAGCACAGCACAGGCACTGGCTGAACCGAGGGCTGAGACAGATAGATGGTCAAGTCTTTTTGGTTTGTATGTTTGTTTTTTGTTGTTTTGTTTTTCAGGACAGGGTTTCTCTGTAGCTTTGGAGCCTGTCCTGGAACTCGTTCTTGTAGATCAGGCTGGCCTCGAACTCACAGAGATCCACCTGTCTCTGCTTCCCGAGTGCTGGGATTAAAGGCGTGCGCCACCATCGCCCGGAGATGGCCAAGTCTTTAGACCAATCTTCTCTCCTTTGCTATTAGGTTGTGGACTTTCCAGCCTTTCCAAGCTGCCTGGCTCCGCCTCCACTCAACGAAGGAAATAACACAGTGAACACGACTTCTGGTGCTATTAGGAGGCCACCACCCTCCGGAGGTGGCCTGGCTGTAGCCAACAAGAGTCAGCCAGGCCTATAAAACAGCAGTCTAGATGACAGTCCCTGGAAACAAGGAAGAAGCTGGCAGGGCACTTTCCTGAATCCCTGTAAGCACTGTTCCAGCAGCTCTTTTGAGGTCTGACTAGCAGTGATAAGAAAGAAAAGGTCCGGGCTGGAGAGATGGCTCAGAGGTTAAAAGAACTGACTGCTGTTCTGAAGGTCCTGAGTTCAATTCCCAGCAACCACATGATGGCTCACACCCATCTATAATTAGATCTGGTGCCAAGAACACTATATACATAATAAATAAATTTAAAAAAAAAAAAGAAAGAAAAGGTCCTGGGGTCCCCTGACCCTGTCTTGTGCCCATAGGAACTGTCACTTAGTACAGTGTGGGAGTGAGGCCAATACAGAAGGAGACCCCAGCTTTCCTACCTAGATATCTGGCCCCAGGACACATGGTACCACTTGAAATTAGGAACGCCCTTGCTTTCCAGATTCTAGCTCAGGGTATGCCACACCCTTAGGCCGAGGCACAGAGGCTAAGAGGAAAGGGCTATGGAGTCAGACAGATCTGAGTTCAAATCCCAGTTTGGCTATTTGCTACAGGACCCTTGGGTCAGCTCTTGAAGTAATTTATATCTATTTCTTCATCTGTAAGTTGGGAATGATAAAAATGAGTTCACAAGCCGGGCAGTGGTGGCGCACGCCTTTAATCCCAGCACTCGGGAGACAGAGGCAGGCGGATCTCTGTGAGTTCGAGACTAGCCTGGTCTACAGAGCTAGTTCCAGGACAGGCTCCAAAACCACAGAGAAACCCTGCCTCGAAAAACCAAAAAAAAAAAAAAAATGAGTTCACAACAGGATTACCTACATATAATAAGCATGTAGCATTTAGCATTTTAGCCCATGTGTGGAGCATAGGACCTACTCAAAAGATATTAGCTGGTTTTTTTCTTCTAATTAATTACTATAGCATACAAGGTCCCCAAATGTTCTGTGATCAAGAAATTACATAAATTACAGACAAGAATGCTGAAGAACCCAGCAAGTGAATTCTACTCAAGTAAAGTGTGATGTGGTAGGATCTTCTGCCCTGATTTCATGGCCTGGACTGCCCTAAAGGAGTACCCTTGCAGGCCCCCCTGGAGTCCTTTCCCATGACCACCTAGCGGTACTGCTTGGGAACAAAGACAGACCTCAGAAGGTCCAACTTCCAGATTCCCTTTGACCTTTGTCTTGGCCAGGGCCCAGGAAGGGGCAGCAGCAGGCCAGGAATAGATGGTTCTCAACAAGCATACCCTAAGTGACCATCCTCCCTTCCTGGGAATCCAGTCAACTGGAAGGCCCAAGGGAATAGGCTCAAACCTGTCCGTAGGGAGGGGATTCCCAAGGGTTTCAGTTGAGACTCTAGGTAGTCTGGCCTGCCCGTGGGGACAGAGTTAATACTTCTTGAGAAAGTAGGACACACCCAAGGCCGACAAGAAGCCTTGGAAGACCCCAGACACTCTTCATTAGAGCCCATCCTCGGGAGTCTGCCTTCACCCGGAGATGTTCTCTTCCTTATGTGCCCCTTCCAGCCTCGACTACTGCCTTCTTTCTCCTCAGGAACAGCCTGTGTTCCTGTGTTTACCTGGGGCTGCGTGGTCTGGGTGTTTGTATGTGGGTCCTTCCTTGTCCCCCACCCGGCGGATGCCTGGGCTGGATTGTGTGTTTCCGGAGTTGCCTACTTGAATCACAGGCTCTTATTTTTAGAAGATTATGAAGGCGGGGGAGGGGGGGGGCGCTGGGAGGAGAGGACGAGAGAGACCCAGAGTTAGAGTGGAGGAGGGTCTGAATTCGGTGACTGTGGTACAGGACTGGAGTGAGGGGACTAGATGGGAGGGTGGAAGGAAAAGAGGTGAGGAAGTGGGGGAGTCCTATTCTCCAACTACCCTGAGGCCCTGGGTGGAATCAGAATCTATCCGGCTGGGGAGGTTGTATGGAAGGGGCCAGGTCAAGGGTCAGTCTCTGGCATGTAGAGCTGGATCCCCGGGGGAGGCCGAGGAGCCTGGGAAACAGGCTGAAAAAAGTGTCTCCCTTCCCCCTCCCCAGAGGCCTTTGGGACTGGAGAGTAGCTTCCTGTACGGACAACTTTTCTGTCCCTTTTGCTGAGGATGCCTTAACCCTTCTGGTGCTGGTGTCAGAGAAAGCCACGCGTGCACTCACAAGCTCTGTCACTCTTGCGGGGTGAGAGGACATCAGCCTGAACCAAAGCTTGTGGGGTTAGGAAGTCCCCACCCTGCCAGAAATGAGGAGCCCAGGCTGAGAGGCCTTAACGTTAGAAACCGGGTTCGTATTTCTGTCTCCATCTGGGTGCTGTGACCTCGCTGAGCTCCTCAGCTCTGCACTTGGGATACAGCCTTGGGAAACAAAGCAGAGATGCTGGTGCTGAGGGGAGCAGAGAGAGGACATCTGCTGGTCCTCTGCTGCCCTGAAGTCCCCAAAGGCAGCCCTGAGTCCACAGACACTGAACTTCGGTGCTCCCTCTCCTGATGCTGCAACCAAACACAAGAGGCTTCTACCTCTGAATGCGTATGCTCGGCACGGGCGACAGCTCGCACACCCCAGACTGTCAATGAGCCTGAGATGAAGAAGTAAACCAAAATAGATGGGTGGCCTACCTCAGCTGCAGGAGAGGCCGTCGCTTCCTTTCATGTGGCCTCCAGGAGAGTGCTAGATTAGAAGCCAAAACTGGCCTGGATTCAAGTTCTGACCGATAATAGTTGTGAGGCTTTGATCCAATCCCATTGCTCCTCGGGGCCTCAGTTTCATTTCACTGCAAAATGCAGATCCGAAATAAAGCTACCTTAGGGTAAAGAGCCTGCCTGTGGCAGAGCCAGACAACCTTTGTCAACCTACGGGGTGTACAAAGCAACAGTGTTATTGTCATTATTGTCAGACCTGGTCCAGAGGTTGGAGGCAACACAGTCGTGAGGCTAAGGCAGCTTGGAAGTGTGACCTTGGGCAAGTTCCTTGGGTCTCCATTTCCGTCGGCAAAACGAAGGTCCTGCTAAAACCTACCTCAACGGACTGCTGGAGAGGAAGTGAGATAGTACACAAGAGAGGCTCCCCAGAGCCTAGTGCTTGGTGAACTCCATAAACAGTGGCTATTGTTACATTCACCTCCCCCAGGGTCTCCAGTAGCTCCCTACCCTCAGATCCCTCCTGCTTCCTTCCCTGAAGGATAAGCCATGTCCAGGTCCCTACTCTGGTCTCAATGGAATGAAAATATATCTTTCTGAAGCTGGGACTTCACAGCATCTGAAAGAAGGGAGAGAGGGTTGCCTAGAGAGAAGGCCAGAGGCTGAGGGTGCTGGGAATTCACTGGGGGAGGGCAGAAAAGGGTCAGAGGCCAACCCTCCCCCCTCCCTTCAGCTGCTGGGGTCGGGTCTCTCATCCAGCTAAGCAGTGCACCTGGATGCTGAGAGCTGCTTATCAGGTTAGCTGAAAGCCGACGTCTCTGGCTGTCTCCGCATATTACCCGACCCATCCGTCCGCTCCCCTGCCCGCCCTGCCTGCCCCCAGTCCTGCCTGTGCTAACTAGTTAATTGGATCTTGGCTAACCTGGTTATGGGCCGAGTCAGCGGGCTCCTCTGCTTCAAGAAGCTAGAGTGGGGGAGGGGCGGAGCGGTGCGTGTGAGCGTGTGAGCATGTGTATCTGTGTATTAGATCAGAGCCTGTCTCTGAGCTCTGATCTAAGCCTCTAGGGATCATGGAATCCACGGGCCCTGAATCTGCATGCTTCCGTGGTGACTGAAGCACCAGCTCCACTGGGAGAGCGGAGGGCATGGGTCACGTGGCCTCATCTCAAAGTCCATCTGTCCTGAAGGCATGTAGATGGAGTGTGTGTAGCTGATTCTTAGCTTCCTTCTCTGTAAAATGGGATTATAGAACCTATCCCCTCAGGGGCGTCATTTGTGAAGATCAAAAGGAACAGTGTGCACATCTGCACTCGGTGCTTAGTAGGCACTCTGTGCAGGGTAACCGATCACGGCCATCATTAATCAAATCGGGTCCCAGCCATCTTGGGATCCTGGGGGTTGGGCAGAGGGATCTCGGTGGAGACGGAAAGGCTTTCATTCACAGATGATTGCAGGTGTTTCCTCTGAGGCAGGACTCCAATCTCTTCAATTGTTTCTTATGCAAATGTTATGCTAATGATCTCATCAATGTATCCCAGTGCCCAGCAAGAAGGTGAGGGTAAGCTGCAACCCCAGGTTTCACTGTGACCGCTCTGTCCCCTCCCTTTGCCAAAGAGAAGCCAGTGCTATGCTCCTAAGAAGTAGTCCCCAGAGCACTGAGCTGGAGGGGAAAAACAAAGAAAGGCCTGGTTCTCGCTAGGAGAAGGACAGCCTCGTCACAGCCATAATCATCAGCATCAAAATGGCCTTTGGAAACGTCAGATTCTTCCCCGCCCTGTGCAGACTACTGTACAATTACGGAGGCCCAGCCCCTGGCCCTCAGGGTGCTGGAACTGGGGAGGGGGCTGGAAGGGAAGGAGGGAGGGAGAACTGACAGGCTGTTTCCTCACAAGCTAGTGGCCCTCCTTTGAGTTCTCCCTGATCCAAAGGCCAAGCTCAGGTCAGGAAGGCTCACAATCAAGTGGGCAAACTAGCGTGCTTGCCCCCTCTTCCTTTCACTTTCTCCCCAGCGAGGTGACTTCATCCCCATCTTACCTCCATCCTCAATCATGAACTAGATCTAATAATTCCTGCTTTCCCAGGTTTCAGTGAGACCTCGGTGACAGTCCTACCCGCCGGCTTCTCCATGGCCCTTCTCAGCTGAGCTATGGCGCTCTCCTCCCTTGCGCCTGCAGCTTGATAAGTCAGGTAAAGGAGGCAATGAAGTGGCTTGTACCTCCACATGGCTGGGCTTGAGCTGGGTCTCCATTAACCGTTCCTCTGCCCCCCGAATTCCTTTCCTTCTAACTTTGCCCTCCATATTATATAAAACGAGGAGCAGCGTAACACTGTGGGCATGAGTTCAGCAACCGACAAGGACTGCTGGTCAGATCAGCGTGGACACAGCCTCATTTCTGAGGCTCCTGTGCCTACACCGCCAGAAGTTTTTGCCAAAATGCCCAGGCCACTTTCTTTTGGCTCCGGCTCCTTTAGAGAGAGATTCCAATAACAGTACCTACTCCAGCGTGGACTAAGCCTTCGACACATAGTAGGTACTCAGTTTAAAAAAAAAATACAAACTCGAGGAACCAGAGAGACATCCCTGAAGTCTGTCTAATAAATGCCAAATTGTGCAAGCAGCTGGCTGCTGTAATTAGACCAAGGAGGGCAGTCACTTATTAATACTGGACTCAAGGCAGGGTTAACAGCCATTGAGGCTAGGGATAATGAAGAGAGAATCACTTCCTGTGCCCTCAGGGACTTCCTTCTGAGATGGCCTTCTGAAGGCGAATCAGCACCCAAGTCTGGCTGAGGGTCCTGTGGCCTTCCTGGTGCCTCTGGCGGTCTCTGTCCTGGTGTGTGTTTAGGACTCTGGCCTCTCCTATCCCTGCCTTTCTCCTGGAGCCCCAACAGCCTTTATCTTCCTTACCTTCTGATGCCTATCGTTAAGAAACCCAAATGAGAGTTCTGTATACCCAAGCCTTATCTTTTCCTTAGACCCGTAGCTTTTGAACCCTGGGGCTGATTTATCTTCTGCTCATTCTGTATCCCCAAAGGTGGGAGCAGAACCCTCATTCTAAAAAAAGAGAGAGATTTCGGGTGTCGCTGTTGGGACAGAGAATTCCAGTTGGGAGAGGGTGAGAGAGAGAACGAGAAAAGGAGAAAATAGGAAAGAGTAACAGAGAAGATGGCAACTTCTAAGAAGTGAGAAGGGGAGGATAGAGGAAGGAAGAAAGAAAGAGAGGGAAGGAGGCAGGGAGGGAAGAAGGAAGGAGGGTGACCATATCTGTTCTCAGAATTACAGAGCATAAGCATGCCCTGCCTGGGAATTTACAATCTGTCTGCAAAGAAGAAGTGGCCAAAGACAGATCCCTGAACTCCTGTCCCTTGGTTTGGAAGTCTCAGCTTGTACCTACTCTCTGGCCTGCCAGCCCGAGCCCCCTCTTTCCTCACTGGCTGGCTCCCCTTGGCAACCAGTCCCTGAGGATGTACTCCTGGGTACCATCCAGGGGTGGGGGCCGCTCAGGAGCCATGCCAAGCGGGGAAGCATGGCCAGGAAAGAGTCAGCAGAGCAGATGCCGCCCTTCTCCTGCTGCCTTGATTAGAGAAATTGAGATGTTAATAATATTCTGAGATGCAAGGTGCTAATTAAAGTTAATTACTGTTTCCTTGTGAAGTAACCTCTCCTCGTGTTTACCAGGAACAAGGCTGCCAGCCGCTCCCCTGGCTCGTGCCAATCACGATGCCCGCTGCTCAGTGTACCCCACACCCCCACAGGTGCCCTCAGCTGCCCCAGCTCAGCCTGGGCAGGCACCAGGAGCTGGGGTTCCCGGGCCTGCCTCCCAACTGGCCCTGCCAAGTAACACAAAAGCACCTGAGTATGAGTGACCCATGTGACCTAGAGACAGGGCCAATGACTTCAGGGCTGCCACCACCTTCTTGTTTCCCTCAGGGTCTTGCCTATCTCTTTCCAGCTCGTTGACCTAGAGCAAGGTATTTAACCTCTTAGGATCTGTTTTCTCACGTGTAAGTGGGGCTCATAATTCCTACCTTGTATTGCTCTGGGAGTCAAATGGGACACTGCCCGTAAAATGTTTAGCATAACCACATACATAGTTGGATTTAATAAGCTCTCAAATAAAGTTAACTGTGATTGCCTTTGTCTCTGTTAATAATCATCTTCCTTCTAACCTCCTTGCTGTGTGGTCTGGCTGCAGGACCTAGGCGGGTGAGCTGACTATACACACAGCTGTCCTCCACAGGCTGGGCCACCACCCCAGGCACAGTGCACATGAATGCCACCCCCAGCTCCCTACACTTGGAGAAGTGACCAACCTTTGGCGAGGAGTTCTGCCAACCCCAACCTGCGGGGTGTGTGTGTGTGTGTGTGTGTGTGTGCGTGCGTGCGTGTGTGTGTGTGTGTGTGTGCCTTCTCCTTTTCCAGACTTCATAGGGCTTTGGGGGAGAGGCCACCCTCTTGGGATCCAAGTCAGGTTGCCATGATGATCACTGCAGGTGTTCACCTCCAATATCCTCTGCTCCCTCCCCAACACCCCCATCCCAACACAGCCATACTGGCCAATTCGGGGTGGGGGAGCACCTTTATGACAAAAATCTCCCAACACCTATTCAGGACCACCTCTTCTGTCTCTCCTTGCCTTCTCTCAAAGCCTTTCGGCTGGGGAGAAGGCCAAGGGACCCGAGTAAACCCCACACACAATTATTCCTCCCAACTTAGTTTTCTCCGGGCTCAGTGCTAATGACTTAATATCACTGTCATCTTTGATTTGGGAGGATGGAAGCTTTGTAAAGGGCCCCCTGCCTATAGCATAGGAAATCAAAGAGTCAGGAGCCCCTCCAGGCTTCTGGTACTTCCCCAACTACAGGAAAACAGCTGGCCTTTTCTCTCAGGGAAGTACTGGCTGGTCAGGCCTAGGTTACTTCTTTTTATGAGTTGGAAGGGTAAGAGAAAGTCACTCGGTTGGATATCGAGCCCAGATTTGGGGGTGAAGGTAATTTGGAGAAGCACTTATGGAAATCCCTAAGGCTCGGTTGCTCCTTATGAGCCCCCCATCCTCCCTGTTGTGGCCCCAGATCCCAATGTCGCTTTGATGAGGACAGATCCTATT